AAATAAAAAAAAATCTTCGATCGATGTCAATCATGTATTGTCAACAACGGTTATTAATACATTTCGAAATGTACTAATAAACACAGCTTACATAAACACACGGCATGCGCTGATCTATTCAAGCCAATGCTCGCAGTAACAGCAAGTTACTATTCCTATTCTGAATTTTTATTATAACTTAATATATATATATATATATATATGACCTATGTTTACATAACATTTTTTTTTATATAAAAAATAATCTTTCTAAAAAATAAGATTTTATAATAAAAATTCAGAATAGGAATAGTAACTTGCTGTAACTGCGAGCATTGGCTTGAATAGATCAGCGCATGCCGTGTGTTTATGTAAGCTGTGTTTATTAGTACATTTCGAAATGTATTAATAACCGTTGTTGACAATACATGATTGACATCGATCGAAGATTTTTTTTTATTTATTTATTTTTTAGTTGATTACTATTCCTATTCTGAATTTTTGTTATAACTTCTTAATAAAGCTCTATATGACCTATGTTTACATAACATTTTTTTCTTACTTTGTGCCATAGAATATAGTGACAAAGTTTGAACATTAAGACCCGGGACACCCTGTATATATATACGCTCTGGAAAAGTGAGCGCGCGGGTACGAAGAGCGTATATATACGTTCATACCATATATACTTTTATTTCATACTTCACTTGAGATACTTTCGTTAATCGAGCATCTGGCAACGCTGCATGCCTTAAACAATCGACTATCATGAAATATAACGCTATTGACAAGACGATATTGTGTTTTATTCTAACGATACACAGTTTCAGTCTTCTTTGGAACATTGCCAGCGACGGATATATGCCAGCAATTTATAATGGCAGCGATTAAAAGGTTTACACGAATTTATAATTCTAAAATAATTTTGTTGGCTTAACTTTAATAATTCACGGGTAAATACTCAATTACTGCCTTTGTGATAATATGTTGAGTCTTAAAGTATTTAATTTTTTTAGACTCATTATCAAATCATGGGGAAAAGAAAATTTAGGAGATTATTTTTCACGAGTGACAGTGAAAGTACTGAAAATGAAAATACCGATACTGAAAGCGTTTGCCATGCAAGACAAACAGTAACGTGCTCAAGATCACAAAAATCTGAATATATTTGGACTACGGAAAACTTGGAACCACAGAAATACATTCCGTACTTCAGTGCCAATAATACGCTCCGTTCATAGCAATCACATTTTGACGCAAGCGCTCGGTAGCGAAAAGGTTAACACCGGTGACAAGGAATTACGATCCGAATCTTATTTGATTTCATCGATCCGTTCGATGATCTGCGATCGCCGGTGTCCGGGATCTCGAATTAAAACAAGAATTAGCGCGGCGTCTATAAGCGGAACATTAACGCGTTCGCGCGGCGCAAACGAACGGAACAGGTGCTTCGTAAATACGTCGGTTCCGTATTTATTTTGCAAATTGATCCAACATTTCATTTCGTCTACACCGAAATCGGCAACACCAATCGCCGATACGGCAGATTAATATCATTAGCAAATTTATTCGCTGTGCTCGTATAATTGTTGTAATCATTATAATTGACTTTATTAATTATACCCGTCGCTCTTCTCCCGGGGCGATCCGGAAGCCATTCCGGTTACAATGCAACGGTGAACGAGAAAATAGCGAGCCGGCTGTTAACGCACCGGGGGTGTTTCAGAAACATCGTTCGAGTTTTCGTCGCGCTACTCGGCTCTCGCGACGAGCGCGTCTCCCCGGCTCGGAATTCAAACGCCACGGCGAGACGACTAGCTATTACATTAGGAATGTAACGACGGTTAATACGCTGAAAGAGACTTCAGGAGCCAGTATTTCCTGCCTAGAAGTACAATAATGCGCCACGGCAACAGCAGAGAAAATCTAATCCGGGAGACGTGACAGGGCACGCGTGCTGATTCTGCCTGCCGGTTCATTTTCACGCTGTTACGGTTCGAGCGAACGCTCCGCAGCCGGAAGTCAGATATTGAATTTCTGCAACGGGGAATTCCGTCGCGACAATTATCGCTCGTCTGCTTCCATCGGAACCGTTCGAGCAGCTCTCGACTGTTTTTTTCTCACGGACGGCGAAATAAAGAACCGACGCGTGTACGTTTCCCGTTAAGGGCCGAAACACGCTAGCCTAACGTTCCCGGTCCCATAGAAAATTCTATCGGCGTTCGCATTTCCGTGCCAGTATCGCGTCGTTCTAGGTCCGGTCAAATATAATACAGGGTGTCCGGAAAGGTTGGGACCAAACCTGTGCTCGGGACAATTACATGAAAAGTGATCATGAAATAAATATATAATATATAATATTAGAAATATTATANGAAAACTTGGAACCACAGAAATACATTCCGTACTTCAGTGCCAATAATACGCTCCGTTCATAGCAATCACATTTTGACGCAAGCGCTCGGTAGCGAAAAGGTTAACACCGGTGACAAGGAATTACGATCCGAATCTTATTTGATTTCATCGATCCGTTCGATGATCTGCGATCGCCGGTGTCCGGGATCTCGAATTAAAACAAGAATTAGCGCGGCGTCTATAAGCGGAACATTAACGCGTTCGCGCGGCGCAAACGAACGGAACAGGTGCTTCGTAAATACGTCGGTTCCGTATTTATTTTGCAAATTGATCCAACATTTCATTTCGTCTACACCGAAATCGGCAACACCAATCGCCGATACGGCAGATTAATATCATTAGCAAATTTATTCGCTGTGCTCGTATAATTGTTGTAATCATTATAATTGACTTTATTAATTATACCCGTCGCTCTTCTCCCGGGGCGATCCGGAAGCCATTCCGGTTACAATGCAACGGTGAACGAGAAAATAGCGAGCCGGCTGTTAACGCACCGGGGGTGTTTCAGAAACATCGTTCGAGTTTTCGTCGCGCTACTCGGCTCTCGCGACGAGCGCGTCTCCCCGGCTCGGAATTCAAACGCCACGGCGAGACGACTAGCTATTACATTAGGAATGTAACGACGGTTAATACGCTGAAAGAGACTTCAGGAGCCAGTATTTCCTGCCTAGAAGTACAATAATGCGCCACGGCAACAGCAGAGAAAATCTAATCCGGGAGACGTGACAGGGCACGCGTGCTGATTCTGCCTGCCGGTTCATTTTCACGCTGTTACGGTTCGAGCGAACGCTCCGCAGCCGGAAGTCAGATATTGAATTTCTGCAACGGGGAATTCCGTCGCGACAATTATCGCTCGTCTGCTTCCATCGGAACCGTTCGAGCAGCTCTCGACTGTTTTTTTCTCACGGACGGCGAAATAAAGAACCGACGCGTGTACGTTTCCCGTTAAGGGCCGAAACACGCTAGCCTAACGTTCCCGGTCCCATAGAAAATTCTATCGGCGTTCGCATTTCCGTGCCAGTATCGCGTCGTTCTAGGTCCGGTCAAATATAATACAGGGTGTCCGGAAAGGTTGGGACCAAACCTGTGCTCGGGACAATTACATGAAAAGTGATCATGAAATAAATATATAATATATAATATTAGAAATATTATATATAGAAAATATATTATTTTTATAATATAATATTATATATAGAAAATATATTATTTTTATAATATAATATTATATATATAATATTATATTATAAATAATATATTATTTTTATATATATTTATTATATATAAATATATTATTTTTATAATATAATATTATATATAATATTATATTGCAAATAATATATTATTTTTATGATATAATATTAATTACATATATAATATATTGTATATATTATATATGTATCTATAATAAATTTATATTTGAAATAAATCTCGCACTAATAATTAGGTATCCAATATAAGGTAATAGACAATATTATAAAATGTTATATTGCTCACGCTTTCTTTGAATTGGCTGTTAGCTGTAAAAATGATCGGCGGTGAACCGACACTGAAACGGGAGACTGTACACAGTGTCCACGTCGTAGCAATCTCGCTTTGTTAAAACGACCGTGACCGGATCGCGACTGGTCCGAAGCGGGAACGACGCGAACACCGTGAACACTGTAATACAAATCAGTGAAGGAATATTTGCGCAGGACGAGGGCGGACCAGGAACGGCACGCGATAACGTGTTTCGGTCCTAGATCGGCTCGAGTGGTGACGCGTAATCGACAGCTGAGCGATACACGGTGTAAAAGTTACATCCGTTTCGGTGAAAAAGCTCGCAGCTCGTCGCACTCGGAAAATCCAACGAGGCTTTCCCCTCCGCCCGTTTTGCGGCCCTGCTCCCATCCCTCGTTTACCATTTTTGCCCGTGGCCGTGTAAAGTTTCCGCCAGCAGCACCGCCATATGCTCCGGATATTATTATTAGTTTAGTTTACCCAGCGCTGTTCTTGCAAGGAACAACAAGGGACGACCAACAACGGCGAACAAACAACGGCAAACAAGCAACAGCAACAAAATCACCGGGCACGCGGAAAAGAGTGAAAAATATTTTTCCAACTTGCCTCCGGTTTCCCTTAACACTTCCAACGGTTGGCGGGGCGCAGAGAGACCGGTGCCTTTTTACGCGCCCGGCTCTGCTTTGGTTGATTTACTTTTTGCGCGTCCCTGTGTCACGCGCCGTCCGACCAGCGCGAATAAAAAATGTATACACATCCAAACATAACGACCGTGACGCAAGGAAGTTTTTTAATATCCGTCGCCGTCGAGCCGAGCCGCGCCGCGCCGAGCCGAGTCGAGCCGCGTCGGGGCGAGCGGCGCTCAGCCGCGCCGTCGCCTTCGCTAATAACGTTCCGTTTGAACGTGATATCGGAACGCGAAAGCCGTTATTGAAAGGATTACTCACCACCGACAGCCCCTTTTCGATCAGCAGACAAAGGCTCACCGGCACCGTGGAATCTGGAACAGAGAAAGCCCGAAACAAGTAATTCACTGATATTCTACCACGCGACGGGTTCGAATTTTCCGCTGGTCGTCGTCCCTATTGTGTTCTACCGTTGTTCAGGCCGGGATTTTTCGAAATCAGGAGATTTCAAAGGATCGATCGCCCTGATACCGAACCGTCTCGGCGGTGACACACGTTTTGGTCGATGGAACTAAGCTGAGTGCAACCTGGACTTGGTTTAAATCTGGATTCGAGTTGGACTAGGCTGAACTTGAGGCAAATCTGACTTGGACTTAGGTGGATGTGACGTAAATCTAACTTGGACTTAGATGGGTGTGGCTTAAATCTAACTTGAACTTAGGTGGACTTGATTTAAATCTCTAACTTGGGCTAGGCTGAACTTGACTTAAATCTAATTTGGTCTTTGGTGGACATGACTTAAATCTAACTTGGACTTAGATGGGTGTGGCTTACACCTAACTTAAGCTTAGATGGACTTGACTGAAATTGAACTTGGACTTAAACGGGCTGGACAAAAATTTAACTTGAACTTAGCTCAACTTGATTTAAATTTAACTTGGACTTAGGTAGACATGACTTAAATCGAACTTGAACTTACATGGACTTGACTTAAATCAAACTTGGACTTAAACGGGCTTGATACAAATCTGACTTGGACTAACCTGAACTTGATTTAAATCTAACTTAGACCTAGCTGGACTTGACTTAAATCAAACTTGAACTTTAATGGACTTGATCTCAATCTAACTTGGATATAGCTAGACTTGACTTTAATTTAACTAGAACTTAGATGAACTTGATTTAACCTAGCCTGAACTTACTCAGACTTAATTTCAACCTAACTTGGACTTGCATTAAATCTAGTTTATATTTCATAAGACTTGATTTAAACATCGTTTGTACTTCACTTAAACTTCACTTGGTCTTTATTTAAATATGACTTGGACTTTGATTCGCTTGACTTAATTCTAGCTTGGATTCTCTTGAGACATTGAATTAGGATCACTGAACAGCGGAACAGGCTTCGACTTCTCCAAGATTTCTATGCCATTGATCCTTCTTTCAAAGGAAAGATGACGAGCATAGCGAAGGTACGTAATTGACTAGCAATTAGCTCGGCAGAGCCCAAGCCTGGAGTTCCCGCGTTCTTTGTGGCCATCATCTTAACCTGGACCTGACTTCGATCTAACTTGAACCCTGTCTCACGGTGCTCCTGGCTAGGAGGAAGTGACGAGGGTCTGTCACGCATCGCGTCATGTTCCGGGTGCAATCGAAAGAGATGGGAAGGGGGCTGGGGACGGTGAGAGAACTGCGCGCGACCAAGGCTGCGCGGCGAGGATAAACGCTGCCGGTGATCGAGGGCCTCGCCCGAATGGTCGAGAGGGATAACAGTGAGGAAAAAAGAGGGAAGAGGGAAAAACCGATATCGTGCTACCGGCGACGAAAGCAACTCGCCGATAAATCAGCCAAAATAGCGCTCGCTACAAAACGGAAGTTCGATTGGACCTCGTGTACCTGCGAGTTTAACGCGGGGAACCGGTTTCGAGGAAACGATAACGGCTTCTTTGGCGATCTACGGGGGAAAAAACAAAACGATCGATCTCGCACGCGCGTATCCTCCCTCGAATTTTATGATTTCCGCGGTTTTATGCGGCGGCTCGATGAAATAGTTTCACATAGGTACCCGTTTGGGGTACCATTCGGGTACATTGGCGAATGGAAATGAGAACGTAATAGTCAAGAACTATAGTTGAATCGTAGCAAAGTAACTCTTAACGCTCCGTTGACTCCACTACGGAGTCAATCCGACATTTGTTTCATAGCTCCGCCACCTCCGCTGAGGAGACATTTGGAACTAACATGATTGCGGTTCAGATTATCTGTTTGCTACTTTACTTTTTCTTTACTTATAATCTTTAGTTATTGTCTAAGCATTACTTTATGACGTGCTGCTTCCTCTGATTGCGAAGATAAATTATTTGTTAACTTCGCTTTTCTGTGTATAAACATGAAGAACGAAAAATGTGAACAAGTGAAAGCGAAAACGTATTTGATGTTGAAGTGTTCGAAGATAAGATAAATATTTTATCATGCTGTCAACATGGGTGCAGAGCTTCCACCAGGTAAACAATATTGGTTAATCCAGCATGATCCAAAGGATACAATTTAATGTATTAGTATTTGCATTAAATTGCATCTTGTTAGTATTTGCATTGAAATAGAGCATTTTTGTAAAACGAATAAAGAAAGATGAGCCTATCTTTTCTTGCTTAACCAAAGTTTCCATTTTCAATCGCTTTGCCGTAAAAAAGTGCCGTCCCTGGTGATGGGAAAATAATAAATAATAAAATAATAAACGTTAAGGACTAACAGAACTCCTGTTGGTAAATGAATTAGGGAACTCGTTCCTGCTTCCGAAATTTATTGCAGACTCCACAATGTTATTAAATTCCACGGAACTGATTAACAGCTATTTTAATATGCCGCGGTATTTACGGGTGCTATTGTAACATTATAACTCCGCGCTCCAGTGGAGTGTATTATATGACTTGTGCAGGATACACGGGATATATTCAACGGAGCTTTGAGAGCTTAACGTTGGTGAATCATTAAAATAGAGGTGTCAAAGATTTCTAAGGAATTCTGCAAGATACATGTGGCGTCGAGACTGTCTGGCTATGGACGAGCCGCGACTACTGATGCAGAGCGCGCCAGATATCACGCTAGTAGATATGGATCGCGTATGGTCAGACGAACGCGACTCCGGAATATTAACTAGACGGTACTAATACACATGAACACCAGCCGCCGAACAGGATTTAATTTATATTTCTGTCTTTCGGTCGGCGGAAATCCAAGCTACTCTTTTGTCAATTACAAATATGCAGGGCTCTCGTTACCTGGAACATGTCCATCGCAATTAAACTTTCATATAAAAATGTTGCTCACGAAACTTTCCTGTCCGCAGTTACACGTTACATTTTACATTCCGGCAGCTTCGTTAGCTAACATTGTAATTAACTACTTTCATCGAATTTTACGCGCGATATCGCGGAACGACAATATCTCCGTTGCGAAGCCAGGTTAAGATCCGGCACGGAATTCGTCCGATTGAAAATCGAAGATAAAGAGTCGCGGCAGTTCGTTTAAATTCTTCTAAATGAGAATTTTTCGGGGACACGGATCTCGGGTTGTGGAACACGGTTCGGAAACCACGGGGAAACGAATCCGAATCGGGGCATCTATAAATAAAGATTTTATTCCTCGCCCGTTCTTTTGTCATTCTTTAAACAGTTTTCGGGGGATCGACGGAGCCAAGACACTTCCGCAGATTACACGGGACCCGACGGTGAACGACCGGGCGGCAGCGTGATAGCGGCCAGGTATAGACGTACGATTTCATTTCGAGCGGTTCGTCCCCGTATTCTCCGAAGTATCGTTCGTCCCTAGATAAAATATGGCGAAACTTAAATAAGTTTAAGAGATGCAACCGCGCGATAGGCAAACTCGCGAAATTGGGCGCCGCGGAATCTCCGTGGAAACGGATAGCCAGAACTGGATCCCGGCAAAGTTCAAAAATAAAACCGCTCGTTACGCTGACGGTATAAACGCGATCGCTTAGAATGCAACATTTTCGAACATCGATCCGTCCCGCGAACTATTAAACGAGCCGTTCATCTGTTCGACCTCTTAAAAGTCGAACTTCAAACTTCTGGAAAAATAGCTCGGCTCGTTAAACCGCATTCTACTTCGACGACATATACTCGATCTTCTGAATCCAACTAATATTTTGTTATTTTTAATCCAGGCGTCACGAGCGATTTCGGTTGGCAAAACTTATTAGTATTCTCTCGTGTATCGACGTGTTTACGGTACACGAATAGAGAAGATTGTGTTTGAAATCGCTCAATTATACCATAAATGCACAAAATCTGCATTCTATTAATTACTGAACTATGCAGATCCAATCCGCTATTATGTCTTTAAATATTAAAAAAGAATGACTATTATTCTCACCGGTTATATTCCACGAATCGACTTATAAATATTCATGCAATTGATTCGCAAATGAATGTGAATAATGCGTTATTAATTGTAGTGGATTTTAATAGATATCTAAAGGGGGTAATAGATTTTTAACATCCACTCGAATCCTAGTAAATTTTTAATAGAAATTTAGACCGCAATAAATTTCCAATGCGGCATATATATTACAATGTATTATATTTTTAAAAGAATTTTAAATTGTAATCCAGTTTTTATTGAAATTTAGAATGCAATCGATTTTTAATATAAAATTTAATTATCATTGGATTCAAATGTGGATGAACTTAAATTACAATAGATTTTTTATGAAACTTGCAGTAGGTTTTTAATAGAGACATGAATTAGGGTGGCTACAAATGTAACAGGAGAGAGAAACGAGGACAGAATGTTTTCGAGAACGTTCTTTTCAAGGGACGCGTTGAAATAGAGAACGCAACGATTTTTCGCGTCCCAGAAACGAGCAGATATATCAAACGCAATTAGACTTTCCCGGTAACGCTGTGCATCGGAGATTGATTACTAGCACACAGCCAGAGCCGGCCATTGAACAAGAAAGTTTCCGAAAAAAAGGGGCAGCCGCGACGCCGCGCCTCGAATTAACTTTAGCCAATCTTCGCAGCGGAAGCATTCTTCGCCGTGTAATTCTCGCGTCGCCAGAAAATGTAAAGTAGGCAATTAAGAAGAAATTAGCAACAATTAGAAGCTTTTCAGTGGGAAACGCGAATACCCCGGCAGCCCCGGAAACTTTCTGCAGTTTTATGCGCGCGCCGACGTCAGCGTAATATCATCCGCGATCGAATTCACGCTAGAACTAGCAGGAAACGTCAAAGAAGTGACGTTTGAAAATTGAAAGAGCATATAACCGGCGGGGTTCGCGGAAGGTGGCGGGAGAAAGGGGGAGAGGAAGTGAGAACGAGAGAAAGAGAAAGAGAGCGAGAGAGAGATG